ATCCAAATTATGGTTTGAACTTTCTAAATGCGCTTTGGGTCTTTAATTTGGAACTATTTGGGCTCAGGTTGGGTCGAATTCAGTGTCATTGGGTTCATTTTTTAGGCATTCAATTCAACTATAAGTTTCCTGAAATCAGAGTTCATATGATCCTAAATTTAATTTCAAAAGTTTCTAACTTAATTTTTGCCTCAAGATTTGTGCCCGATCATGACAATTTTTGTACTGAAAAGCTGTTTAAGAACCAGTAAATAAGCTATCCCAAATGAATTTTCAAATTCTCATTCTAATTCATAATTTAAAAAAGGGATTGTTATTTTCCTAACACTCAAAACACTTCTATTTGCACATCTCACATCCAAACTTCACTTTTTACTGTTATACCACCTAAAAGCCCTAACACTCACCAAATACAACACTATGTTTGGTTCCATTAGAAACCAGTTCGCAAAAATAGCCTTTCGCGCGCAGGAAACTTCGCGTTGGTTCTCCCCTTCTCTCTTTCCCATCGGACCGACACAGCTCCCCTTTTTGCGAAACATAGCATGTGAGCAGCTCCCCTTCTCTCTCTTCCATCGGATCGACGCAGCTTCCTTTTTTGCGGAACAGAGCAGGTGATGTTTTAATGTGTTATAAATAGATTAAGGTTATGTTTGGATTCATTCTATTTGTTTTAATATGAAGAATGGTATTTACTTTATGCGGAGGCATTTTTTGCCTTTTGAACCATTTGAGCAATTCTTATTGAGTGTAAACACAGCTGCCATTTGGATAGATATAAAGCATCTTAGAAAGGTGGAAGGTAAGTGATGAAATACCGGGCTATGGTCTCCTCTTGTTCACCAATCTTCTTATTCACCAGTCAGAAATCGTGGTATGTTTTAAGTTTCAGAAAACTTTTTATCCAGTCACACCTCTTTTTCAACTTGTAAGTTCGGGATGGATTTAACTCATATTTAGTGAATGATACACTAGAAATTTCTTCGTTTGAACCAGGAAAAACTATGAATCATGATACTTTCACATATTTGTTGAAAACATAAAACCTAGATTTTGAAATAGAGAAGAACAACATACCTATACGACTTATGGAGGAGTGGAGGCCAAAAAACGTTCCAAGCGAAATGTAAAAGTCCTAAAGAGGAAAAAGAGATGTTGAAATGGACAAGAAAATACCTAACCGACAAAAATGAGATCCGTTCGAGCAAGGGAAAGTCGTTGAAGGCGAAACAGTTTGGTGATGCTCTTTTAACGGGAGCAAACGGAGTAAGGTATTTGGTGAGTGTTAGGATTTTTATGTGCTATAACAGTAAAAAAGTGCAGTTTGGGTGTGATATATGTAAATAGAATTATTTTAAGTATTAGGTATGTAAAAATCCCTTTAAAAAAATTGCTTCAAAAAGCAGTCCAAAAAGAAGCCTAGGTTAATTAAGATGAAGTGATCATTATAAATACAATTTTGATTAGGGGGGCTGTCAAATATTGATCTTATTTAAGTAGGCCTTACTCAAAATAAATAATGTTGCGCACTTAACAAAAGATATTTCAATAAAACAATAAAAAATAGTTTTATCAGCGTGAGACTATAATTACACACATACCACTTTATATCGTGCTATTTACATATCTAACATTTAAAATTTTAATATTTCATGCCAACCACCCATAGAATAAATATGAATGCAAAGGATGAAATATTAAAATTTATTTGCTATATTAGATATAAGTGATGGTGTGCATCGATACTATTGACAATAACAAAGATGAAGCTGACATAAAACCGATTTAATCAGGTAAAGATGTAAAGATATTGAAGTCATGGTCGAGAGATCAAAGTCAAGTGATGCGAGTCAAGAGGCTGTACTTATGTATTGGTGGTCAAGAGACTACAGTCAAGTAACGCTTCTCAATATACTATAGTCAGGTAACGGTGGTAAGGAGATCATAATTGAGTGATATTAGTTGAGTAATAATAGATGGGGCAAGCTATCAAGCAATGGTGGTTGACAAAATAGAGGAGATCATAGCTTGGTGATCTTTGTGGAATGATGATGAATAAACAATGGCAGATAGGCCATGGCTGTCAGACTATAGTGATTGAGTATCAACGGTTTTAATGGTGATCATCAATGTCAAATGTTAGGTGGAGTTATAAGCTCCCTCCAAATTTAAGCGCTTAATTTGGGTTCTTTTGGACCCGAATCAGATCATTTTTTTGTGTCAATGAGTTTATCTCACCGACATGTTCAGTTCGACGAACTGTAAATTTATTAAAAACAGAGTTAGAATGGCCTAGCTCGATATTCATTGAGATCCATGCTTGATAAATTTAAGTTTTAGATCTCATGACATAATCTAAGTAGATTATATTAATAAAAATTAAAATATTAATATTAATTAAACTAAATCAAATGACTTTTTTCTGAAAAATTAGGCCACAGGTAAGCCGCCGGTAATGAACGATTTTTCTGTAGTTGTTACTAGTCTTTAAATATTCCAAAGCCATCTAAAATACAACAATTGAATCAAAATCTATGTATATTATATATTTTTATAAAAGTAAGGAAGGTATAAAAATTTCTTTCTATCCATATAAAATTTCTAATTCATAATAAAAATGAAAAAATCAATCAATAATAACTCCAACTAAAAATAATATCAGAACTGACACATCACTGTTATCAAGAGCAAATTTATGAGCAAAAAATTTATAACAATATTAATTCATGAATATCCTGCCATTATTCTTAGAAGATTGCTGTGTTTTGTAGGGTCAAATTCAATTAAAAAAAAACATTTATTAATAAATATAAATTTTTTGAAAATAACTCAAATATATTTTTCTCTAATGTGACACCTAACAATCCACTGATTTTTCGATAAATAATTTTTTATTTTTTTAATGGACACAATATTTCAAAGGGTCTCATTCAATTTGGCCACATAATACTAATAACAGTCTTTATTAATGGATTGTCGGTCAAATAAGGGACTGTATTGTTGCAGCCGAGTTATTGATTTGGATTACAAAAGTGATTATTGAACGTAAGTGTTGCAATCAGGCTTTAATATTCGATTAATTGAGCCTGAAAAAGTGGTAATATATCATTATTGCATCAACATCCAAAGCAAGAAAGTCTTTTTTTTTTAAAGGCTTGTTTATTGATAATTAATTACTTTTTTATTTTTATTTATGTATATTTAAAAAACCTTATCATTTGAGCTTTGGAGAGAATTTTTTAAATTTTTTTTTTTTAATGAATCAATTATATATATATTTGAGGTGATTTATTTAATTTTCAAAATATGTGGGGTGAATGTGGGGGGTTGTTACTTGTTATTGTAGCTTACAAATGATTTTTTCAAGAGAATTTTGTGGTGCATATCTTTGTTTGTTTGTTTTTTTTTTCCTTCAATGTTTTATTTATTACTTATATCAAATTATTAAAGGAAAATTGGCTTTGATGATTGTGAAGAAAATGAGTTATGTTTGAGCGAGCTTAGATCAACATGATTAATTTAGGCTTCGTTTGAGGCGGCTTTCTTTCTGCTTTTTAAAGCAGCTTTCTAGTACATAATTTTTTAATTTTGTGCTAAAATTTATCAAACTAAAGTAAAAATTATATAATACAAATAATTTATTATTAGGAAAATTTACATACAAACTACTTTATTTCATGCTATTTAAATATCTAACACTCAAAATATTAATATTATGCCTACCACCGATATACAACTTTAATATCAAATATATCACTCCTATAATATGTTACTTTAATATCGAATATACAACAACTTTAATATCGTTTATAGGATTGTATGAATGGTAGAAAAGAATTATATGAGTGGTATATTTGATATTAAAGTTGTATATCAGTGGTAGGCATGTAATATTAATATTGTGGGTGTTAGTTATGTAAATAGCATGAAATAAAGTATTATGTATGTAAATCTCCCTTATTATTATTGATAAATCACCAAAAATTATTTTCATCCTTCACGAATCTCAAGGCATATCTTAGTTGGCAACTTCCAAAATTAAAATTGAGATCATCTAAACACCAATTTTAGCTAACTTGCATTCAAATTGAACGTCTGAGTCAGATGAACCCAACGACTATTATCGTTAGACAACTATAGTCCCTCCGACCATAGTTGCACACTTACTAAGTCCCACAGACCACGGTCATCTGCTGACTAGGGTCCTTCTGACCAAAGTCGTGCACCGACTACAATCCTTCGACCTCAGACACCCTCTGACTACAGTTCCTCCGTTCATCGTCGCTCACCGACTATAGTTCTTCCGACCATCGTCACTCAACTAAGGTCCAGTCTTCCACTGACTGGGGTCTTTTCAACCATAGTCACGTGCAAATTATAGTCCCTCCAACCTCTGTCGCCCTCTAACCTCCATCACCCACCGACTAGAATCCCTTCGACCACTGTTGCTCTTACTCGCCAACTGCGATCCCTCTGACCACCATGACCCTTCAACTACGGTCCCTCTGATCATTGTCGCCCAACTATATTTCCTCCGACATCAGTTGCCCGACTACAGTCTCTCCAACCTCCTTCGCCCGACTACATTCCTACCAATCAAACGAACAAACCAACATTCTCTTGAGAATATCTCTCATATCATCGGATTCTTCCAACCCCAATTATATAATTAGCTCTATATTCTCTATATTGAGCTAAAGTCTTCCCCAAAAGAAAACATAATTTGTTATCAACAACAAACATTAGTGAATTCAATTCAACTAGGTAAGGCCCGGATATTTTTTTCTCTTCTCAGATTTTTTTTATTAAAAATTATGATGTCTCTTATGATCCTTGAAGTTCTCTCTTTTTATTTATGTGTGTTAAATTTTTTATAAAATTAAAATATTTTTTTTTCTCTCTATCATCACCAAATTTTAGGCCGCTAATAATAATAATAATTAATTTTATCATTTTCTCACAATGCCTAATTGATATATTAAACTCAATTTGTAACATGCCGCTTACGCGTGGGGAGTAGAGGCAACTGCCTGCCTTACCATTCCTATAAAATCTTTTTGTTTCTGTATCTTTCGCCCAAATCCACAGGTTTTCTTTCAAGGGCCTGATCCATTGCAGTCTTTCTGGATTTTGGAGAGGAGGAAAGGAATCTAAAGCAATGGAAGCCAGATTAGACCTCGACGGGAATCCGATCAGGCCTATTACAATCTGCATGATCGGGGCTGGGGGTTTCATCGGCTCACACCTCTGCGAGAAACTAATGACCGAGACGCCGCACACGGTTCTTGCTGTCGACGTTTATAATGACAAGATCAAGCACTTAATGGAGCAACCGGCGGGTGGACAGCCCCATCCCTGGGTTGGCCGGATCCAATTCCACCGCCTCAACATCAAGAATGACTCCAGGCTCGAAGGCCTCATCAAAATGTCTGATCTGGTACGTATGAGCACAGCTTGTCGTATTTTCGTCATTGCGGGCCTCCAAAGTGCTAGATCTTGCCTCTCTTGCTCAATTTTGTGCTGCTTTTGGCATAGCCCTTTCTAGATCTGCATGTCGCTCACAACTTTTGGTTTTCTGGTGGTTTAGTTGCTTGATCTATGATTTTTTGTTTTCCAATGCCACCTGCAGACGATCAACCTGGCGGCCATTTGCACTCCGGCCGACTACAACACGCGTCCGCTTGATACCATTTACAGCAATTTCATCGACGCTCTTCCAGTGGTAGGTTTTGACGTTTCTAATACGAGTGATGATTTTGTCTTTTTCTCTATCTTTTCTTATGGTGTCGCTGTCTCTTCTGTTTAGCACCGGAACTAAAAAATATGTACAGTATTATATGGATTTTGTTGATGATGGTGATTCAGGTCCGATATTGCTCGGAGAATGACAAACGTTTGATTCACTTTTCCACATGTGAAGTGTATGGAAAAACGATTGGTAGCTTCCTCCCAAAGGATCACCCGCTTCGTAAGGTGCCTTAATGCTTCTCTAATAATTTTGTAACTCTTCAATCATTTTCGCTGTCGCGTAAAAGATAATACTCTGCATCTTTTTATTGTCGGCATAAGAAAATAGGCTCATGCAAGTTAATTGAATGATGTTTTTTGTAAGCCTAAATTATGCTGAACTCTGTTCCATCGTTCAAATGGAGTAAGGTTTTCTTCCCCATTTTTATGTGTAAATGATATCTTTAATGATATTCTTGCATCTTGGCGCTAAATAATTCTAATGTTTTTGCATTTTTGCTTGTGCAATAACTTCTCTACTGGTCATGATAGTATTGTCTTGCCCTGGCAAGGAAGAATAGCTTAAAGTTCCTCCTGTAATAGTTGGTGCAACCCGTAGTGTCATTATTCGGTAGATTTGAAAATGCCTTCGCGTCATCTTGCTTTTGTCTCATTAACTATTTCAAGTTTTCGCAGAAGAAACAATTTATTGTTGCCTAGTAGCCAAAACAATGACAGGATGTGATGGTCGCTAAAATATAGAGCATAGCATTAGGCCTTTTTGAAGTACATTAGTTATTAATTCATGATTTTAAGTTTTCTAAGGTCTGTCTGATCATTGGTCTACGCATTTGTTTAAATTTCGAGGTATGCATGATAACATATTCACAAATAACATCATTATGACCATTATGTAGCATCATGATCATAAGTCATTTATAATAATGTGAAAAGTAATATGAAGAGAATTTCATTCCTACAACATACCATAAATATGTTCATAGATCGAATCACTTCTATACAAATTAAATAAACATTCACACAAAAGAAGGCTCGTGCTTACTCTGTTAAAAGAAAATCATGTTGGGATTATTTTTTGCTTTTTATATATTTCCATTCATTACATAGGCTCAAAAGTTGTCACAATAGTTGATCTTTCCTGCATAAAATCATTTTTTTTATTGATTTCAATGTGGCTTTTCTAGCTATGGTCAAAGACCTTCTTCCATAACTTCAGTATACAACTCATAAAATTGATCCCCAATATTCTCACAATCATGATTGTTTCTTTTATTCTTAGTTACATTATTAAAATGCTTCTTCTCCAATTATATGGGATCATCCTAGCTATTAAAATTTCATTAAAAAAATTGTTAATCAAACTTCAATAGATCTAACAATTCACATATCTCAACAAGAGTTTGAACTATACTTGAAGTTACCTTTATAAATATTGTTAGAAACTAACTTATTTGTTTTTTTTTTTCTTTTCAGGAATCATACCATAGATTAGGTTTTCTTTCTTTTCCGAAAATTTTTCATCTTTTGATAATCTTATTCAATAATTTAAAAAAAAAAAGAAGAATCGTCATCCTTCTTTGGTGTTTTTATCTTTAACTGAGATTCTTTAATCTTCCCTTTGATGCATCTAATTTTATTAAAGCCTTCTTTAGTTCTTTTATCTCTTAGCTATTTTATATCTCCTTTTTTCCTCATTAGTGCCTAGAAATTATTTTTATTCATAAAAAAGTTGTAACCTTGATATGTCCAGTACCCTCTCAAGCAAGTTTTGTAACTAAACAATATGATGAAATCATGAAGCAACCAATTGATTTCAAATTTATGAATAATAATTCAAAAATTAAAAATAGCAATACAATAAACACAGCTTGATTAGACTTTCATTTAGAATGCGACATAAATATTTTATGTAGTTTTGTTAAATATTCATTATTGGTGCAAACTATATGTTATTAATTAGAAATTTGGGTAAAATGATCATCATAGCGAGAATTTTCTTTAGTAGATTTTGTTCATATTTTCATTCCTCCCTGTTAAGTCACCAACGAATGCAAACCATACCCAGCCTCCAATGAAAGTCTTAACAGAAGCCTCTTACTGATGAGGACATCAGCAGAAGATTTCGGCGTGTCTATCATAAGAGGAATCGTAGATCGACGACTACGATTCGGAGTCTTTATTTATAATGTATTTTATTTTTATTTATGTTCTGGTTTACTATTGTACCCCAAGAGAAATTATTTTATGTTTTAGCCCCAAGGGCATTTGAGTATTTGTGTTTTTCTTTTATTTGAGGCCTATATATGTTGGCCCTCCCTATTGTATGTGATGATGATTGATTAATGAAAATTTTTAGCTTTTTAGTTTTCTTGAGTATTGAGAGCTCTAGAGAAAGGAAAAGTCCTTAGGTGAGGGCAAAGGCAATACCCGTCAGCCGTTGGAAGAGTCTGGGCTCATGGTCTACCTCCCCATCCCTTTCCCCACCACCGGCCTCCTCCCCTTTTCTTCCCAACCGACGGTCCCTCCCCCATCTTCACCCAAACCGCCGGCCAAATCCCATCTTCCACCCAAACCCATTGGCTAATCCCTTCCCCGCCCCCCTCCCAAAAGCCCCCACCGTCAACCCCTTCACCCAAATTGAGCCCTCCCTATCCTCCGACCTCTGCCTAGTCAACCCTAGCCGCCGTCCATGCTAACCCCAATACCCTTGTTTCTATTTTCCAATCTCCACGTTAATGCTTTCGTAATTTAGAGTTATCTAATTTGAAGGATCCTTTAATTCAAATTCAAATGAATTTAAATTTCATATAATTTTCAAATTAAAACAAACTTATTTTAGGAATTTCCCCAATCACCTCAAATCTGAAATTGAATTGGAATTAATTCCAATTTCAACATTCATTACACTTAGACACATTCATTGAACGTGGACAAACCTTCCCTCCCCTTTGGCCGGCCCTCCCTCTCTCCCTCTCCCAATTATTTCCTTCCTCATTAAGGACTTCAATTAAGGAGATAATTAGCAACCTCCCTCACCTCTTTCCCTTTGTATTTCCTACAATTTATCCCTCTAATCAATCACCCACTTTTAATTTCAGAAATCTAAAATTAACCGATCCTTTCCTAGTCTTGGCCGATACACCTCCAAGCCCCTTTCCCCTCCATCACCTCTCTCCTCCCTCGCTCCACATCCCTCCCAAGGAAGAAGATACACAACCACTTGGCCTACTTTCTCCATGAATGGCTAATCCCGAGCACGATCATGGATTCGTGTATGATCTTCAAGGACGAGTAGATATTCTTTGGTCTCCCTTCTTCAACCTCAACTTGGAGATCGACGACACCGTCGACGACTACGTTGATCGAATCATTTTCACTTTGATGACTGCCATTGACGAGCACCAAATCTCCGGACAGTTTCGAGTTATTGGACACCCACCGACTTCTTCCCCTTCGGCTAACTTTTCCTTGGGCAATACTGCAGGCTTTTTCTGTCTTTTGGTGGCATCTTTAAGTTTGCTAAAATTATTCTTCCGTTAAAACCATAACAAGAGTGAAAGTGAGGGGAACTCAAGGTGCAATTTCTATTTGTTAAACGGTGCAATTCCTGTTAATCTTTCTTGTAACTGCATGCCAAAGCACAACTACAACTAAGAAATCCTAGAATCTAATCTTGTGAAACATTAATTTTAAATTAACAAGCTTAACAACTTTTCATTAAATTCCTGCAATTCCTATTATGTTTCACATCACTTACTTACTTGAGCTTAAGTCATGTTAGGTTTTGTAATAACACTGTATGATCTGCAAGTAATTCTCTATGTTATAGCCAATTAACTCTATATTTGTCTTGTATTGCAGTATTGTTAAAAAATATTATTTTCCAGAAATTAATAATTTACTCCCATGATATTTCGGTGGAGGGAACGGTGGTGTTCCTTTTACTTTTCTTCAGGTTACAGGTTGAAGTCTTCTTCAATTGGCTTGTCTCAACACCCGTCCATGCATGTAGTAATGGTATAAAAGTTATATATCAGTTAGACATTGCGGGATTAGGTTTTTGTTTGGATGCTAGGGAATTGAAGGAAATGAAAATTAAAGGATTGAAAAATCAACTATTGCATATTCAGAATCAACTCTTAAATTATTAGGATTTCATTTTATTTCATCCCCTATAGTGGTCCTGTCATAAGTCAGTGAATTATAAAGGATGAGTTCTTCTGTTATCAGCTAGATTGATTTATCTAAAGAATTAAAAATAAGGAGGTAAGAAGCAGAGTTAGGTGAGATGAATACTGACTTTCGTGTGACCAAAAATTTCAGTTATTGATGAAGCGATAAGAAAGTCCTCTAGAAAAATTGAGAAAGAGCATTCAACGGTGTAAGAAATGTCTAATTACATGTTGCTTATTGCTTGATTGAAGAGGCTATTTTTTAAGAGACTCTTAGCACTTTGGCTAATTTTAGATTGTTAAATGTATGTGAAATATTGGGTTTAGTTTTACATTCAATTTTTGAAAAATATGTTAGCGTATAAATATCAACTGGTTTGCCTTCATTCATAGATTTTAGTTTTCTTATTATAAATTGATTTGAACATTGGTCTCAACTTCGCCCACCCCCCCATTGATTCACACTTTCCAGTAAGTGTTATTAGATTTGATAGTTTATTTGAGATTGATGAGTCATGCAGTTTATTTTTTCATGAGTGAGGCTTTCGTTTGAGTAGATCTATAACTGAATATATGGAATGTAATTTTAATAATGATAGTTCTAGTGGGGGATTGTGACTTTGGGTGATAAGTCATTAATAAGAATACACATTTTAGATATCTTGGGTCTATTGTTCAGAGTGATATGGTGAAATAGATGGAGATATTATTTGTAGAATTCAAATTGGATGGTTTAAGTGGAGGAATGCATCGCGCTTGTTGTGTGATAGAAAATTCCCCCTCAAATATTAGAAATTACCTTTATGTATTAGATTTAAATGAAAATTTAACTTTTAACAGGGCACAATGGAGAAAAAGGATTCATGTAGCCGACTCCACATAGTTAGATAAAGGCTTGATGTTGTTGTTATTGTTGTACCATTTTTGAGGAAGGTTGAAGACTGCTTAACTCACACAGTAGATCTACATAGTTGAGTGGTATTTTGGTGCATAATACTTGATAAATCCTTCATCTAAATGAAAGTGATTATTGATGGAGAGAGCGTTCACATAAAGGAGATATTATTAAGGCACGTGATGATTGTATATAAGTTTTAGTCCAATTTTAATTAGTTGAAAAGTAGGTTGGTGTAGAAATTGTAAGTGATGATCTCTCATCCATAGATTTAAGTTTTTAGGTTGAAAATGAGTGTAATCATTGGTGTTGTTGGCTTAATTTTAATTCCTCTTTGGTTCACATACACTAATATAGTTGGATGGAGTAGGATGGTTTTTAGTGATAATTTTAGGTTTCTAAGATAGCATATTTGTTAACTTTTAAGATCCATTTATTTATTTTAAACATTTAGGCTAAGAAGATCATTGTTGCTGGAAAATATGAGGGCAATTAAGGGTTTAGAAAATGTCTAATGCCCAGCTCATTAGTGCTCTTACTAGATTCCAGAGGGTATTTTATGAAAACTAATTGCATTTTGCTCCTTTTAAGTTAGTTAGTGACAACTCCCACTACGCACTGATTTTTTAAAGCATTTTGGGCTGGTGGGTCTCTGTTTGTGACATATAACCATGATGATGATGGCTTTATCTATCGATTTAAAAATTTGAGCATTTTTTATGCTTGGCCTTATGAAAATGGTTGATTGTCTCCTAGTTTTAGAGCTTGTTAGGATTGCAATATTCTTATGATTTATTTTACTGTTTGGCAATAATTAATGAGTATTTCCCATCTGATGCTTACCCCAACCTTTTTCATTTTGCTTCAGACCAACATTAGTTATTGATTTTGCTTAATTTTTTTTCCTTGTCAGCCATTCGGAGGGATGAGTTTGGATGAATTTTGTCGAGCACTCAATACCATAATCTTTTGATAACATTAATAAAGTAATAATTAGTACATGAATTTTACACTGCAACAACACCAACAACATCAAGCCTTTGTCCCATTATGTGGGGTCGGCTACATGAATCATTTTTCTCCATTGTGTCATATTAAAAGTCAAATTCTAGTTTAAATCTAATAAAAAAAGATCATTTCTAATATTTTCTAACCAAGTCTTTTTAAGTCTACCTCTACCTTTCTTAACATAAGTCAAATCTAATACCTCTACTTTCCTAACTGGTTCATCGGAAGGCCGCCGTTCATGTGACCAAACCATCTAAGGTGGCTCTCTCTAATCTTATCCAAACCATCTAAGGCGACTCTCTCTAATCTTATCTTCCACTAGAGCTACTCCAACCTTTTCACGTATATGCTCATTTTGTATCCTATCTCTAAGGGTAAAGTCACTCATCTACCTGAGCATCCTCATCTCTGCAACACTTAACTTAGTATTATGCTTCTCTTTTAATGGCCAACATTCGGCACCATAAAGCATTGCAGGTCTCACCTCCATCTTATAGAATTTTCCCTTAAGTTTGAGGGGGACTTTTCTATCACACAACAAGCCCGATGCATTCCTCCACTCCAACCATCCAATTTGAATTATGTTGATAATATCCCCATTTATTTCACCATCACTATAGATCCAAGATACCTAAAACGTGTACATGAATTTTACACTGTTTTCTTAAAATACATGGGATTTTAAATACTTGCTACTAAATAGACCCATAATATTTTTGACCTTTGACAAGGATATGTTGAAATTATTAAAGATATAAAACATTTATTGGTATTGAAATAGTGACTGTAGAGTTCTAATTATGAAAGGACTGCAATAAGGATTAAAATTAGTATTTATCATTTTGTATTAGTTATAGAGATGCCTACAAATGATATCCTAATGAGGCTCCTGGGTATATGTTTTTCTAGTAACTTGCATAGTTTAGGATTTGCTTGGTAAGTAAATGATAAATCAGAGCAACGAGGAGAAAATATCTAGGAAGAGAAAGAGCATAGGATTATTAAACAAATAGTAAGACTATGCGATTATCCTTCAGTCGATATGATATTAATAATTATTAGTCAAGATTAGTAGAAGACAAAATAATACCTAGCTATGATATATGTTTTTAAGTATATGGAAATAATTATAAAAAAATGGAGATGTGGATGAGGATATTTAAGTTTGAACAATTAAAATGGAGATGTATCTTAGGAATATTTTGTATAGAAGAGAATCATGGAAATCTAATGGTAAAGTTTATTTATTGTGATTACCCTACCTATGTGATATGGATCGAACATCTATCTGTTCAGTGAAAAAATAATTGATAGCCAAATTGAGTTGTGGAAATAAGAATATATTAAAAGGATGAGGAGATAAGATAGAAGAGACTAGATTTTTGGGCTACCCCTTGTGTTAATATTCTATATGTCAAACAATTAATTTCCTGTCCAATGTTGAGCTTCTTAAATTTTCTTAACAGTATTCCTGATTCATTTCTTGCCATGTTGAAATAGGAACCAGAATTTTATGTCCTAAAGGAGGATTTGTCACCTTGCATTTTGGGCCCCATTGAGAAACAGAGGTGGTCCTATGCATGTGCCAAACAACTCACCGAAAGATTAATATATGGTACGGCTATATTCTCTTAACAACTATGAACTAAATAAAGAACATTCACTTATGCTGACCTCCTTGTATTTTTGTTTCCATTTTGAACTTATTGCAGCCGAGGGTGCAGAGAATGGTCTCGAGTTTACCATTGTAAGACCTTTCAACTGGATCGGACCAAGAATGGACTTTATTCCTGGAGTTGATGGTCCCAGTGAGGGTGTGCCAAGAGTTCTGGCATGTTTTAGCAATAATCTTCTGCGTCGTGAACCTTTGAAGCTTGTTGATGGCGGGCAATCTCTGCGAACCTTTGTGTACATCAAAGATGCCATTGAAGCTGTTCTTTTAATGATTGTATGCCTGCATTTTAACTAGAACCCCCTTCTACTTGTACTAACTAACACCTGTGGTAACACAGTGAGCTAAACATCTTTCCTTGCAGGAAAATCCTGATCGAGCAAATGGCCATATATTTAACGTGGGAAATCCTAACAATGAAGTCACAGTCAAGCAACTTGCAGAGATTATGACTGAGGTGTGTGATTCAAACAGTAGTAATATGTAGACTAGGGGTGTCAATATTTGACACGACATGAAAACCGACTCGTACCCGACCCGGAAATTTTGGGTTGGAACTGACCCCGAAAACTCATTTGAAATGAGCTGCCCGAGCTGCCCACACCTGCCCTGGCTGCCCGCACACCTGCCCGCACTCCCGTCGAGACTGCCCGCACCTATCAGCGGCTGCATGCGCGCCCAAGGCTGCCCGCAGCCCACGCACGTGCTCACTGGCGCACGCGCCTGCCTGCTCACCCCCGCGCCCGCGCCCGCCTACAGTCCACTGCCTGCCGTGCCGCCCGCCTACAGCCGCTTGCCGCCCGCCGTTCCGTCGTCCCGCCGCCGCCAGAAGCGGAATTGGGTCGGGTCGGGTCAACCTAGCAACCTGACGGGTCCGGTTCGGGTCCGAATTTCCGACCCGTTTTCATACCTGGTTTGGGTTAGGGTCGACCCGTTTGAACCCGGGTCAGTTCCGGGTTCAACCCCAACCTGACACGAAATCCAATTTTGACACCCCTAATGTGGTCTACCAAATACCAATTAAATCTGCTAGGCAGTTTCCTGTGATTTGATCCTTGAATTCCATCTTGCAGGTGTACTCTAAGGTATCTGGCGAGCCTCCACTTGAGGTTCCAACCATTGATATTAGTTCAGAAGAGTTTTACGGTGAAGGATATGATGACAGCGACAGAAGGATTCCAGACATGACTATAATCAATAGACAACTGGGTAATTGCATTTATATAACTTTTCTTGAAATTTACCTCAACAAATCTTCCTTGGTTGAGATAAAATTTTCAATTGATCATATTTTGTAGGTTGGAATCCGAAGACGTCTCTGCATGACCTGCTGTATTCTACATTAACTTACCAGCGTAAGACATATGCAGAAGCCATCAAGAGGATGATGGCAAAACCTACTGCAACCAGTTAGAAGATGTTTTTCGAAGCAATTTTCATTCGTTTACATTTTGCTTTTACCTTTGTGTTCGAATGCCTAAGTGTTGGACATATTCATTTCTGTGGCTGGAATGGTTTACTTTATTGATGATAAATTTTTGTCATTAGTATTATTGGCATTGCTTACTTTCCAAAAACAAAAACATTTACTTACAGGTTTGTCCTTGTCCTGGCATTGGTGCAAATTTGTTATTTGCAAAGCTAACAGAATTTTGTTTTTGGCTAGTACCATTGTTTTTGTTAAGTTAATTTTACATTTTTTTTTTTAGTTTTTCTATTAGATTATGATAGTTATTAAAAATCTGCTGTTTGACTTGTTTTTTTAAAAAGAGAAAAAAAGCTTATAATATCTCAACTTCTGAAATATATGATGGAGTTCTATTAATAGTGAGAGTATTCATTATGCCAAGCCATATAGATTTGTAGAAATCACATATTTCTATTATTAGATATTATTAAAGTTAGAGGATGGTACACGTGCAATTATTTTTTAACATGGAACAGGTTCAAAAGGACCATCGGCCACACGGTCGATAAAAACTTTCAATGATTTTGTAGATAATGTTACATAAAGCAATTGGCCTGAAGTTAGTGAAGAAATTAACATGCTTATTTTAATTTCATCATCCAGGCCAGGAGCAGAGGAGGAAGCCCAAACGAATACAACCTTTTAAATTTGATGCTTCCAAGGAAGTCAGATTGAATTTTGTGGAGACCGTCAACATGAGATTGAATAATGGAAGAGTTGGCCCATGCTTTCTTTTTGATATCTCCTTTCAAAATCCCAAGTTTGTTATAAAGATCCAGAATCGGATTACCCATAGAAGGGTCATAAAAGACCTCAAGAGTCATTTCCCAATACCTATCCAGTTTGGTCCAGAAGTTTTTAATAGATATCTGTGCTTTGAGTTTTGAGGGTTGCTAGAGTGAAGAATGATGGGGTAATGATATGAGCAGGATGGGCTTTGTAAAGAACAAAAAGAATTAGGTAAAGCATTCATCCAATCATGATTCACAAAAGCTTTGTCCAGCTTAATGTGAATAGAATTGTCAAGGCATTGACTATACCAAGTGTAGCGATTGCCAACTGATTGCAGGTCCATCAATCTCGTGTCAAAATCAGAGAGTTAAGTTTCATGAGGTTATTTTGAGAAAGAATAGTACCACTAGCTTTCAGAAGCAAGTCTACATCCATTGAAATCTCCTATAAGAATTAATGGAGTGTTATGAGACGACATAGACTATTTAATAAGATCACATAACTCCACTCTGTCAGAGGCACTATTAGAAGCATAAATAACTTAAAGATGAAAGGGGGATAGGTTCCCATATATAAATGTACGAGAAATGAGTTGAGCAGAGATTAAGGTAGGAGAGAATCACACTTTATTAGGATTCCACTTAATCCAAATGCGGTCTGACTTAGAGAGCTCAAAATTGTTGCAACTTTCGTCAATAGCAAAAACATGATTGGAAATACTAAAAAAGGGGTCCTGAAGGGAGGATGCATGAATCATGTTCTCCATAATGCAAAACATGTCCAGTTTGAGCGAAACAACCATGCACCTACAGCAAACCACCTTATCAGGGTTATTGAAATCTTTGATGATCCAAACTGCACCAGGCTTTGTTAAGTCTAGAGTATCTACGCAGAGCACACTTTCACTCCATCTTCTGGTGGATTGGGCTTTCCTTATGTGACGTCTCTTCAGTATGCTTTTAATTGCTCTGTGATTAGTAGAATGTACAACCAAGTATCCCCTTTATCTACGTGGCTAATCCATAGATACACCTCCCCTTGGTGACCTGCCTCGTCATATGCTACCTCCTTCTGAAAATCCATATGCAATACTGATGTTTTGGTTAGGAACTCCTTCCAGTTCAAAGTAACCCCTTCTTCTCCCATTTCTATGCACTAGGATCACTGGTGCGGTGGTTCTACCCTTGCTCACAACCCTAAATCCCTAAGGGTAACATTCTTCTTCAGGCATATGAATCGAATGCACTTGTTAAGGATTTAATTTCAGAGAACATCTGGAATCTGCTTGCTTCTCTACCCTTATCCGTTGTTAATACTATAAATGCTACTCTCATATTTGAAAGCTCCAATTCTTGCTTAGTATGGGGGAATTCAACTGAAGGTTTTTTGGCCAATATGTCACGGATTACTACAAAGATGCGCCTCTTTGCCCATAGTCTGCTATGATTTGGCACAAATACTTCGTTTTGAGATATTCTATTTATGCTTGGCTTGCTTTAGTTAATGATCTTAAAACGGCTAATGCTCTGCTCAAAAGAAATATTCGAATTGATCTGATATGCCACCTGTGTCACTCTTCAAATGAAAGCATTTCGCATAAGTTTTTTTAATGCAATTATGCTTTCTCTATTTTATCCAAACTTCTGCCATACACCAGTACATTACTTCTTAGACTAACAATCCCTCTTATGTTGGATTGGATCAATGATCAAGAGTACATTGAGGCTACTGTTAAAAACTTACATTTTCTAATTACATGCTAGGCTATTTATCATATCTAGAGGGAAATGAATGATAGGAGTTTTGGGGGTTCAATGAATAGCCGGACTACAATCATTATCAAAATAAAGAAAGCTGTGTTTGCTAAAATTAGCAAGTGGAAAGGTTTAGAAACTTTACTAACACATCTCTAACGTTAAGGCATTTGTGAGGCTTTCTCATTTTTTGTGTTACCACTGTGGTCTTTTTGCTGAGGTTCCTCATATTTTACATGATTTTTATGATGCCTTTTTTTGGCGTGTTGGGATGTTTATGTTTTTCCATGGACAATGTTGTGATCTCATTTACAGGCTACCCCTCGGATGGTCTTCGGGCAACCAGGGGTACGTATGATTCGTATGGTTTAAACTTCTTGAGTTCTGGCTTTCGTGGTTGCTATGGTTTTTGCGACTTGGTGGATCTCCTCTTTCAGGCTGCTATCATTGCTCTGATTTTGTTGCTATCCAATTTTTTGTATTTTCCATTCTAAGTTTGTATAAGGGTCCTCTCCTTCATTTTAGTTAGTTTGTCATCTTGTTAGCTCTGTTCTTTAACTTAATTTTTGGCTCATCTGAGCTGGCTCCTTTTTTTTTTTATCTGGAGCCGCTTTTTTGTTCTCTATTATATTGTATTTTGGTGATTAATCTTATGTACGGGCTTGGCCTAATCAAACTGGCATACGGTCATAAGCTTTTATTATGACAAAAATCCAATCCTAACAATGCATTTCCTTGGGAACCATTCATTTTTATCAGATCGGACATTTAAAATAATTAAAATTTGAGGATATTAAGTTCTCAATTTTAAATTTATTTTAGGATAATATAAGTGAATTTCAATCTCAAATAATAATAATACTACTACTTAATAGATAATATATATGGTATTATTTTATTCATGATAAGAATAATTGTTTTGCGTTAAAAAATTCATGATGATGAAGTGATTATTTCTTGACTTTGTATTGCATCAAAATTTACACAAAAAAAGGGAAGTTTGACTTTACATGGCTCATAATAATGATAATTAGAGATGAAGTATACCTAAAAGTTTATTTTAGACTAATTGACCTTCCCTTATATTTAGGAAGTCTGGTGCTTTGCCATTCTCATTTCGGCCCCTCATTGCTAACATCATTCATTTCTCTCTCCTCTTTCTCTCTCTTTAAAACGAATCAAACCGTGCTTAAAAAGATATTTACGATTATCCGGACGAAAATTTACATTCATCTTGGGACGATCAGCTTTGTCATATCCTCAGATCACATTTGTACGGACGATATTTGATTTTCGTCCTAGGACGATGGGCTCTATCAAAAAAAATTGTTCAGTTTATATAGACGAACTGACGGTTCATACAGACGAACCTGCACCTTGTTCAGTTTGTACAGACTAACTGCATAAAAAAATTCTCCAAAAATAACTTGAAAGTTTAAGGGTTTCACAATTCGTACCAGATCAAGATAATTTTTTGATGATATATCAGTTACCCCCTTATTTTCGGACGTCGAGGTACATAGTGTCTGAAAATATATGTCACAACACTTCAAATTGATCGAATCGCAAAAAATTGCATTCCATAAAACACGAACTTGCTTAAACTCAATCATAGAGGCCTCGTTGAGCTCCGAAACTGTCAAAATTGAATACATAACGTCAAAAAACGTGTCTGAGAACCTAAAAAATGTCAGATCTAGACTGTCCGGCCCAAAATTGGAGCCCGAACACGCATAGGCGGTTGAACTGGCTGGTCGGCGCTGCTGTCGGCGAAGCGGCCCCCACATCCGCAACTAAAAGGACGCACGACAATTAATTTTTTTAAAATTAAAAAAATAAAATAAAAAATTTTAGAGAATTCCAAAAAATTCAGAATATTCTGGAAGCTTATCCTTTTCCAAGAAAATACTATAAATACCCCCTAGCAGTGGCGGAGTGAGGGGCGGGGGGGCCACGGGGGCACGTGCCCCCCCTCGGTAAATTGAAAATTTCCTTTAGAGTGTTCGCATGTATTAAAAAAAAATTCCTATGCCCTAACCCGACTGCGGACTGCTCGTGCTCGGTGCTCCAGAGGAATCGCCTTCCAGCGACGACGCGTTTGGCCCTCTGTTCGCTCCTCCCAGAGGAATCGCCTTCCACTTTATCGACCTGTTCTCAGTTCTCTCCTCTCGCCGAAGCTTGAATTGACCACGGCTTGTTCACTGTTTGACGGACGAAGGGCAAAGATACGACCATACGTCCAGACCTCCGATCTGTTCGCCACAACTGCATATAAGACTCGTCTAAATGCATCGGTTGATTGTGTGCGCTTTCTTTTAAGGCAAGGGCTAGCCTTTAGAGCCCATGACGAGTCTGACACATCCAGAAATCAAGGGAATTTTCTTCAATTGTTGCACTTTTTAGCTGAACATAACAATGAGATAAATAATGTGGTGCTAAAAAATGCTCCAGAAAATTTAAAGTTAACTGTACCAGAAATTCAAAAGGATATCACTAGAGCTATATCGATTTCAATCACAGACTTTATAAAGAAAGAAATTGGAGAAAATTACTTCTCTCTTTTGGTTGATGAAGCACGCGATATTTCCTCAAAAGATCAAATGGCTATTGTGGTTCGACTCATTAACGAAGAAGGTCAGGTGGTTGAACGTTTTCTAGGCATTATTCATGTTCCTGATACAATGGCTAGAAGTCTCAAAAAATCCATTGAAGAATTGCTTTCAACTTATGATTTAAGTATATCCAAATTATGTGGTCACGGATATGATGGAGCAAGTAATATGAGCGGGGAGTTTAATGGGTTAAAGGCATTATTTCTCACTGAGAATAAGGCAGCACATTACATTCATTGCTTCTCACACCAGCTCCAGTTAGCCTTAGTATATGTTGCAAAAAATCATGTTCAAATTACTCTCTTATTCTCAGTATTTTCAAATATGATGAATATTGTCGGGGTTTCATGCAAGCGACGTGACCAACTTCGAGATAAGCAACGAGAGAAAACTTTAATGGAATTACATAATGGAGAACTAGTAACTGGACAAGGGTTGAATCAAGAAATAACTCTCAAGCGAGCAGGTGATACACGATGGGGATCACATTATGAATCAATTATTAGATTGATTACAATGTTTTCCTCAGTTATTGATATTCTAGAAGTGGTTGTTGAAGATGATATCAGTTCTGAACAAAAAGGCGAGGCTTTCGCATTATTAGGGACAATGCAATCATTCGAATTTTTATTCTGTTTACTATTGATGAATGATATACTTGGTATAACTGCTGAGTTATCACAAGCTTTGCAAAGAAAAGAACATGACATTGTAAATGCCATATCTTTGGTTCGAATATGCAAAAATAGGCTGCAAGTTATGAGAGATAACAAATGAGAAGAGTTCATCACCAAGCTAACTTCTTTTTGTGAGCAACACAAAATAGATATTCCTAACATGAATGATAGATGGGTTGCTCGGGGACGGCCTCGTCGTAGAGCTCAAGATATGACAAATTTACATCACTTTAGAGTTGAAATATTCTACAAAGTTATTGATATGCAACTTCAAGAGTTAAATAATCGTTTCACATAGACGAATACTGAGTTACTTTTATCTATTGCTTGTTTGAATCCATCTAAATCTTTTTGTGCATTCAGTAAAGATAGATTAATTCGAGTGGCACACCTTTATCCATGTGATTTTACTCCTGTTGAATTGGAAATTCTAGACAATCAGTTGGAAACTTATATCATGGATATGCAGTCAGATCCATAGTTCTCATTATTAAAAGATATTGGACACCTTGCTGAGACAATGATACAGAACAAGAAAGATATTTTGTATCCTCTTGTTTTCAGGCTATTAAAACTAGCTTTAGTTTTGTCATTTGCAAAAGCAGGAGTAGAAAGAGTATTTTCTGCAATGGCTATCATTAAAACTCGACTGCGAAATAGGATTGGAGATCAGTGGATGAATGATACTTTACTCGCATATATTGAGAAGGAAATATTGGATTATATTGAAAATAGTGTAATTGTTAATCTTTTTCAAAATATGAAAAGCAGACGCTATAAATTATAAGTTTTTTTTATCTTATATTTAGTATTCAATCTTTTTTAAAAAAATTTTAAAACTGCCAATGCCGGTCCCAAGCCCGGATGCAAAAAAGTTGAGGGAAAATTTTTTTAAAGCATTTGTGCCCCCTCTAAAAAAAGTTTCTAGCTCCGCCACTGCCCCCTAGGGCCAGGGGGAAAACTGTTCCTTCTTCTTTCTTCTCCCTATGACTTTCTTACACTTGAGATTTTTCACTATTTTTTTGTATGTGATTTTTCCTACGCAAAATCAGTGCTCATCTTCTTGTATAAAAGTTATAATTTTTGTAGCATTTTTGTTCCTTTCTTCTTTTTCTAACTTTCTTACAGTTGAGGTTTTCCACTACTTTTTCGTAGGTGACTTTCCCTATGCAAAATTAGTGCCCCTCTCCTATGTAGAAGTTAGAATTTTTGTAGTCATTCCTGTTCTTGTCCTCTTTTCTTCTTCTTAAATTGAAGACATTCCACTATTGTAGATAGACGTCATTCCTCTATCAAGCTTCAGCGTCTCTCTCTTATGTAGAAGGAGATTTTTTCCTCATTCTTCTCTTGTGTTCTTCTTTTTATATTAGAGGCATTCTACTATCGTAGATAATCGACATTCTCCTATCAAGCTTTAGTGCCCTTATTTTGTGTAGAAGGAAAATTTTTCCTCTTTTTTTTTTCTTTTCTCCCTCACTTTGAGACATTCCCCTATTCCTTTTCAGGTTTAAGATCACTGAGTAGGAGTCTCCCCTTCCTTCTTTAAGAGATCTTGCGGTCGAGGGAAAATCGATGATTGTCAGCATACTATTCAAAGTCTGATGAAAGTCCCATAATGAGTAGAAGTCCAGTGACGTGAGAAAATTTAACATATGGTAGAATTTCGATGAAAGTCTCGCGATGGGTAGAACTCTAATGATGGGAGGAAGCTCAGCGTTAGGTAGAATTTTGACGAAAGTCTCACGACATGCAGAAGTCCAGTGATAGGGGGAAGTTTAGCGTTGGGTAGAATTCCGACAAAAGTCCCGCAATGGGTAGAAATCTAAAAATGGGAGGAAGCTTAGCGTCAGATAGAATTTCGATGAAAGTCCCACAGCAGGCAGAAGTCTAGTGACGGGAGGAGAATTTTGATGTTGTTTGAGCAGAAGTTCATCAACGATGGATGATCGAGTGGAAATCTGTTGGCAGACAATAGTTTAGTGAGGAGCAGAAGAAGAGAGTTGGAGGATGTAATACTATTAGTAGTTAAGCGAGAAGCCGACGATGGCTGATATAAAGTAAAGGACCGTCGGTAGACATCGGACAAAGGGCCGATGATGGCAGGTGTCTAATGACATTTTTTAAGGCAATATACATCCATACTGAAGCGTGCGAACATCAGACATCTCCGATGGAAGGGGTCGAAGTAGTGTGCCATATTAGTAATCTAGCGACATATTTATGGTGTCGATTGAGTAGAGGCTTGATGATGATAACGTTATAACCTTTCTTTGAAGAAGAAGTTGTATGAGATGTTTTAGTGTGCAGTAGAAATGAAGTCACTTGAATCTATTAAGGATATATGACATATCCGAGATTGTATATTAGAGCCCTGCTCGATGACATTAACTTATATGGAAGAGGTCGAGAGAATCCACCAAGGATGTATGACCTATCTGAGTTTTTATGTTAAAGCGTTACTCAATGATGTTAACCTATGTGCAGTAGGTTGAGAGAATCCACCAATGATGTATGACCTATTTGAGATTGTATGTCAGAGTGTTGCTTAATGACGTTAACCTATATGAAAGAGATCAAAAGAATCCATCAAGGATGTATGACCTATCTGAGGTTGTATGTCAGAGCGCTACTCGATGATGTTAACCTATGTGAAATATGTTGATTGAATCAACCAATGATGTATGACCTATCCAAGGTTGTATGTCAAAGCGTTGCTCGATGATGTTAACCTGTGTGAAAAAGGTCGAGAGAATCCACCAAGAATGTATGATATATCCGAGATTGTATGTTAGAGCGTTGCTCAATGACATTAACTTATATGGAAGATGTTGAGAGAATTCACCAATGATGTATAACCTATCTGAGGTTGTATGTCAAAGTGTTGCTCAATGACTTTAACTTATATGGAAGAAGTCGAAAGAATTCACTAAGGATGTATGACCTATATGAGGTTATTTGTCAGAGCGTTGCTCGATAACGCTAACCTATATGAAATAAGTCAAGAGAATCCACTAAGGATGTATGATTTATCCGAGGTTGTATATTAGAGCATTGCTCGATTATTGTGGAAGAGGTCGAAAGAATCTGCCAAGGATATATGACCTATCCTAAATTGTGTGTCAGAGCCATGCTCGATAACATTAACATGTATGTAAGAGGTTGAGAGAATCCATCAATGATGTATGACCTATCCACGGTTGTATGTTAGAGCATTTGCTCGATGACGTTAACCTATGTAGATGAGGTTGATAGAATCCACTAATGATGTAAGACGTATTTGAGGTTGTATGTCAGAGCCTAGCTCGATGACGTTAACATATGTGGAATACGTCGAGAGAATTCATCAAGGATGTATGACCTATCTGAGATTGTATGTCAGGGTCTTTGCTCAATGATATTAACATATGTGAAAGAGGTCGAGAGAATCCACCAAGGATGTAGGACCTATCCGAGATTGTATGTCAGGGCCCTGTTCAATGATGTTAACCTATGTGGAAGAGGTTGAGAGAATTCACCAAGGATGTATGACCTATCTGAGGTTGTATGTTAGAGCATTTACTTGATGACGTTAACCTATGTGAAAGAGGTCAAGAGAATCCACTAAGGATGTATGACATATTCGAGGTTGTATGTCAGTGCCCTGCTCGATGACGTTAAACCTATGTGGAAGAGGTCGAGAGAATCCACAAAGGATGTATGACCTATCTAAGATTGTATGTCAGAGTCCTGCTCGATGACGTTAACCTGTGTGGAAAAAGTTGAATTGAATCCCCTTAGGATCGATTTTGTCTTGATTCAGAGGGGGCGAATGCCGCGTGTATCTTGAATCAAAGGTAAAGAATGATCCATCTTTAGAATATTACTTCCTTTTTGATGTCAAGATTAAAATCTTGCTCAAGAAGTAGAATTCTAGATATGAAATGTATAAAGCTTGCAATTGATTGGAAGTATCCTTTCTATTATTGGGATTTTCCTGAAATATCATCTTGATATTGAAAGAATTGGAGGATTTTTTTTACCATGGTTGGAGCCAAAGTTGCCTCCCAGTCTGCATCTAATTCTTATAAAATTGATGCAGCAATGATTGATGTTATGAAGTTGATATGAATGACCTTCTAAAATTGGAGTAAAATTGGACCCCTATTTGGGAACCACATTTCCCACCGACGACGCCAAACTATTGCGACCTGGAGTATTCACGGCGGCAGAGAAATATAAATTTAACGTCTTAACTTTGTATGAAAATCCGGCATGCAATCATATAAGATAGATGGTGTAGAATTTATGAGACACAAAGTTTTTTAAGTGAAAAATCTCTTAAAAGGGGGGAAAACTGCGGGGCCTAGCTCGGTTTGAATGAATGCACTATTATTTAAAATTAATTACAAATGAGGCCCTTCCTTAGGGGGAAGGCCCTGTTTGATGTATATTATATGAAGTATATGATGGGAATACAATGAGTCACTTTGGACATGTTCGTTTGGTTGGAAGGACCGTAGTTGATGGGCGATGGAGGTCGGTAGGATCGATGTCTAACGACAGAGGTCAGAAGGAAGGCGTCAGGTAGAAATCTGGTGACGAGTGAGGTCCGACGTCAGACGTCAGTCGACGACCGGGGAGAACTCGGGCGTTGGATGGTATTCGGGCAAAACTCTAGAGTCACTTGGAGATCAGACATAATTTCGGCATCCCTTGGAGATCGGGCGAAGTTTCAACGCCACTTAAAAGTTGGGTGAAACACTGGCTTCACTTGGAGATTAGGTGGAGTTTTGGCGTCACTTGAAAGTTGGGCGGAACTCTGATGTCACTTGAAAGTCAGGCGGAACTCCGGCGTCACTTGAAAGTCAGGCGGAACTCCGCCAGTGGTCGATAAGGAGTTTCTTCCCTCCTCTTCTTCTGTTCTATTCTTCTTCTTCTTCTTCTTCCTTCTTGGGTACCCCTCTTAAGAGAAATGAGGGGCTATTTATAGTTTTATGAGAGTGACATGACCCGTAAATAGGAGGATCAAGGAAAAATGCAGAGTGGTTTGGATGGATGGCAGATATTGAAGCCCTTTATTGTGGATCTTTCATCAGACATTTGAAGGTCTTAATGATATCGGAATTCAGTGATCTTGGGTTCGTTGGATTTGTCTCGTCGAGCCGCTCGATTCGACTATAAGCATGTCATATTTGGAAACTTTTTGATAATCCAAATTATGGATTGGACCTTCCGAATGTGCTTCGGGTTTTTGATTTGGACCCATTTGGGCTCGGATCGAGTTGAATTTTGTGTCGTTGGGTTTGTATTTTTGAGATGCTCATTTCGACTATAAGTTAGCTAAAATCGGAGTTCAGATGGTCCTAGATTTAATTTTTGAAACTTCCGACCTGATTTTGCCTCGAGATTCGTATCAGATCAAGAAAATTTTTTGATGATATATCAATATAAATATTAGAATATGCGCCTCATATTTATAATAAGAATCTATAATACTTATTTTTATAATATATATATATATATATATATTTATTTATTTATTTATTTATTTATTACTCTCTTCTATTACTTGTTTATAAGCACCATCCCTTATAATTCTAGCTCTCTAACATGCATAGGCATTATTTTGTTGGGGAAGACTTTTGAGTGTATAAATTGTTACTGTGATCTTCTCTAATTTAGAACGCACGACTATAGCTAGAATTTGGGATCATTCATCAAAGAGTGTAGTTTGTTCTCCTAAACTAAAATATTTAGGATTTATTTGAAATAATTTTCTTACTATGCTTTCTAAATCGCAACCATATTTTATGTTTGGCTACTATTTCTTTTCTATTTTCAATAAATTTAGGCTTCGTTTGGGATGACTTTCTTACTGTTTCTTAAAACAATTTTTTAGTAGAAAATTTTTAATTTTTGTATTAGAGCAGTAGCAAAAAAGTCATCCCAAATGGGACAAATTATTGCGTTCGGCGTCCGGATTCATTCGGACACTAATCCAGATGTGTCACCTCACCAAAATACATCGGAACCCGATGTATTTGGATGAGTTGGCGCATCCGGATTGGTTGTCCGGAGGTCAGGTGACCGGACGCAATAATTCGCCCCCAAATGGAGCCTTATATGCTAGGAAGTAGCTTTTTACAACAGTTTTCAAAAAGTTATTTTTCTCATAACAGCTTTACAATTACTTTTCCAAAAAAACGATAGACATCCCAAATTGACCCCTGAATTTAAAACTCTATATGTGTCATGCTTTGATTTTGCGTTTTGTTATGATACTGCATTTTGTGATTGGATTTTTATTTCATATTACAAATAGATAACGTGATGGTCCCCTCTATAAGTATTTCTCTATACGACAACTTCTAGATTTAGTAGTTTTTATTGGGTTGGCTTGATTTTTATTTTATGATTAGTCTTGTTGCATGCTAAAATATTTATCATAATAGAGAGAAGTTATCATCCTAGTACTATAAGAAATAAATGAACATATATAAGCTTAGTTAATAATAACTCAATAAAGATATAAAAATTTTATATGGGAAATATGGGAAGGTGAAAAAACCACCTTTCATGAGTTAGTTGCAATGATTCTACTAATGTGTGATATATATTATAAATGACATATTTTCTCATAATAAGAGAATACATTAATACAAATGTAGTAGACATTAACTGTGAAATATGACTTCTTTGATAAAAATATGAGGAGTCATGTAATGCTAAAGTAGTTAATAAGCAAACAATGGTAATTTGCTATAATATTCACTTTATAAGATGGGAGCTTGGCAAACGAGAAGGTGGGCATTAACCTTGACGGCGAAGATCGATATTTGCTATATTCTTGAAATTGAATATTAACCTCCGAGTTGGTAATTTGACGATCAATGTCGATTTTCTTGATTATGATGGGTGCTAGTGTTGGTATTGACGACGGGCATGAGCTTTGTTGGCGACAACGTACTTTGGAGTGGTGGCAATGAATAGCATTGAAGTTGGCGCTGATAACACATATCGACTGCGACGTTGGGCCTAGCTTTATATTATTTTCCATGGAACCCTTTTTGGGACCTCATTTTGACATGTTTTAATTATAAAATATTTTCTTAGATCTCTTAATACCATAATAATATTGGAACTAAACGACCTTAGAGTTATTTGATTCGTCTCATCAATTTGTTCATTTCAATTTTAAACAAACAATATTCATATATCATTTGATTTTCCATACAATCCGAAGAAAATTTCAATTATCATTTTAGACTTTTATTTAGATCTAATTGAACTTAGATTAAACAAAATTTTTTCTAGCATCATAAGGTTTGTCTCATCAACTCATCTCAATTCCTCTAAACTAATATTAAATAAAAATAAATTTTAGATGATCCCATGATCAAACATGGAAGTTTAAAGTTTGAATGCTTAAATATTTTGACATTTTAAATTTACATGAATGTCCATACTCATACAATTTCATCAGTGACACTAAGGTTTCGTTTGGAGTACAAAATTTAAAACTTTTGTACTCAAAAGCTGCTTTAAGAAGCAGTAAGAAAGTCGTTCCAAATGAAACCTAAGCCTTTATTTGATATTTTGTTGCTTGTGCAGTTGGATGATCACATTTTTTTATAGGAGGATTTTCATACATATAAGGATTTACATACATACCATTTTATTTCATTTTATTTAAATATCTAACTCCTAAAATTTTAATAATCCATACATATCACCGATAGGACCAATATGCATGCAACGAATAAAATATTAAAGTTTATATGGTAGGATGAGTGGTATGGATGAAATATATGAGTGATATATTTGATACTAAAGTTGTATACGTGTGTCAGATATGGAATATTCAATTTTAGGTATTATATATATAAATAACATAAAATAAAGTGGTGTGCATCTTACTCATAGGAATATGATGGACTCAATCTACTATTTACAAATTATTATTATTATTATTTATTTACATATTAGTTTTGAGGTTATTATTGTAATAGCCACTACTTATAATTTCTTTTTTATATTAACCCTCAATTTTTTGTCATTAAAAAAAAAAGCTAAAAACTTGAATTCAACTATTTAAAATGTCAATAATAACCTTTTTTTTCAAGTCAAGTGTCAATATCAAAATCCTACATGTGGTTCTAGTTCGATATCCATTGGATACTCATGCTCTAAGCGGGCGGGCTTCACCCAACAACGCACACTCATAGTAACTTTTGAAACGTCGTACCCATTCATAACTGTGAATTTTTCACGCTTTTTGAATGCAGTCCACTACAGATTGATGATCTTAAAGCTTGTTACGCACTACATTGTAAGTAATACGATAATATATGATATAAGATGATTAGTAATGTAAATCAATTTAACCCCAATGTTGAATGTCCAAGTGGATGGGTATGGTCAATATGAGGAAAAAGCTTCGATTGGCTTCATAATTCATTAGGCTGAACTTTGCCGAGCATCATTGAAAAAAAAAAGTATTGCTTGTCACGTTATTAATCGAGTTCTGAAGCTGTTTGTGACCTCTTTAGGCCGAAATCGCGACACAATCAGGGCGGAGATCACAAGCCCGGAGCTTCCCTCGACCGCCGAAGCCACTCGTCGGAGAACGAAGGGGCTATAAAAGGAAGACTCGGATTTCCAATGAGGTCGATTGATAGAGACCAGAAGAGGCTGCAGAGAAAGAGTAAGCGGAAAGCCCTAGCGAAGAGGTTCGAGGGAAGCGGAGAGGAGAGGTGATGGGGGCTTCTCTCTCCAGCCTGACTGAGAGTAACAATGCTGGCGACGGAGGTCGAGGGCTCGGAGACATACCGGAGAGCTGCGTGGCGTGCGTATTCATGCACCTCACGCCGCCGGAGATCTGCAATCTTGCTCGCCTCAACCGAGCCTTTCGCGGCGCAGCCTCGTCTGATTCTGTCTGGGAGTCGAAACTGCCCGGAAATTACCCCTCCATCCTCGAGTTTCTGCCCCCCGAGAGTTACCAGAACATTTCCAAGAAGAAGGATATCTTCGCAATCCTCTCTCGTTCTGTTTTCTTTGACGACGGCAAGGTGTCAACGACAGTCTAACCCTTTTTAGTTTTTTTTTATTTAAAATTCTTGTTGAGGTTGCTTTTAGATTCTGTTGTTGACGACCGACGAGGGTTTTGCAGGCGATGTGGCTCAATCGGCTTACCGGTGGAGTCTGTGTTTCCGTCTCTGCGAAGGCGATGAGTATAACGGGAATAGATGACCGGAGGTATTGGAGTTGGATTAATACTGAAGAGTCCAGGTGCAAAACGAGATTATTGCGTCTAGTATTGATTTAACATTTGTTTAAAATTTTCCAGCGCTTGTGTATCAGAAAGCTTTTGTTGTTCTTGAGACCATTAGGTAGAGTGGTATTTAGCATGTAGGAGTTTTGAGTAATTGAACCTTAAGTTACTGTTTAAACTAGGTTTCTATTTAGGATCAAGTTGTTGAATTATTGTTGAGTAGGTAGGAGGGCAATGCATGGCAATATGGCATGGACGTTTTAAACCACTAAGGACATTTTTACTAAATTTAACTCTTCGCTCAGTGAGGTGGACGGCTGGTTTTGATGGATTCCAAGTAGTGCACCTCTAGTTAGAGACAATAGATTGAGAAAGAAATGTAAAATCGTTTATCATCATAGGTGTCTTGTGCACAAGAGAAACTAAAAATTTTCTCACTTCTTGGAGTTAAATTTTTTTGATTTGCTTGGTTTTTTTTGGAATTGTGTTATCAATTTGCAATTTGGCCACAAGACTTTGTTAAGAACTTAAGCATTTAACACAAGATATTGTACAGGAGTGTGCATTTCCTTTTCTTTGATATAGTTTATACAATTTTAGTTATGTAAAGAATATTGATACTTTTTTATGGTGAAGTTGTAAATATTTTATCTATCTATTTTTACCTGCAACTCCCATCCTTGTTGTATCCACGTGCATCTTTGATGAGCGAGGGTGTTTGGTAAGGGTTCATACCATGCAATTATGATTTGATATTTAGTCTTCTATATACTATGTTGTCTTCTTTTTAGTTTCTATCTTTCTTATATGCAGTAAATCCATGTTGGAAATATGATTATTACCTTACTTTTATTATGTAAAGTTGTGTTCTACATGCTCCTTCCAACACAAAATTAGATGAAGGAGAGGGTAAATAAGCATCTCGATCACTTGTTCTCCTCCCTATATATTTATTTAATCTTAAACAAATTTCTTTTATGGAACCATCTCTCAATCTTTCTCTTGTTCTTTTCGAATCTAGATGTTTGAGTGTAGAAGAAATGTTGATTTGATATGAATTTGATGATGATTTTTTTGTTGTTGTTTATATTCTTCTTTGATATTTTGAATATCTTTGATTTGTTGATGGATTTCTCCTTGGATATGTGGAAATTAAAGAAAGAAGAAACCTTAAGAGAAGAAAAGGGATAAGGGCGTGATCACTATAACATATCTATTGCACGTTGGGTAATATAACAAGCATTATAACATAGCAGCTTGGGAGGAGAGGAAAATATCACAAGGATATAGAGAGGGCGAAAGAGTGACCAGGACGAGAGCGAAGAGGAGCAACCAAATTTAAAGAGATAGAAAATCAAGCGAAAATTAGTTCAATTCATAATTCAATAATCCAAGTAACAACCATTCCATCCCTATTTATAGAAATAGGGTTTCTAGATAACTTATATTAATTCTGATTTAATATAAACCTAGATAACTCTTGAAACGCCTATTATATAATTTAAAACAAAGATGATCCTAATTATCAAATTAAATAAAACTCAAATAAAATTCTAAAATATTGAAAAATTGTAGAATCTTCTGAAATAATCTTTTTCTGCTGCATCAGATGAATTTGGTGCTTATGTCCTAATATCGCAAGTTTGTCTTTTAACATTATATGGAAACTTAGAGTTCAGTTGATACTAGATCCAATTAAAGAATTCTTATTTTATCAAGTTTGTAAACACCTTTCATTATTTCATTTGCATGAGAAAGGATAAGTTTTTTTTTTTAATACTCAGTAGTCTAGTCCCTTTTGTTTTCATTTGCTTGCACATAAGAACAATGAAAATTAACCATTTATACTATCAATTAATTACCTTTTTAATCATCTTTCCCCTCATCTCTTTCCATTGTCATCTCATCAACCTCACAATGCCCTCTCTAATGATAGACCTAAAGCTAATGAAAATGTGCAAGCTTGTTAGCATCAATCTTGGCGGAATTTGAATCATAAGATCCCTTGTGAGATCTTTGCAAGGGATGACTCGGTTGAAATCTAGTGGTGTCAAGAAACCCCCCAAAAAAATTTCACTTAAAAAAATGCTATCCTTTTTTTGTCTAATTTATAAGGATTGCACCCAATCTAAATATTTCAAAATACGTAGTACCTAGTTTATATAACTAGGTAATGATGTTTGAGTGACACTAAAAGGTTCAAGTTAATGTATATTTTCTTATGATCATGCATAAAATTCTTAGATTAAGAGACAAAATAATATTAAGTTAATTTGTAGAGATGAGGATGCTCAGGTGGATGAGTGACTTTACTCTTAGAGTCAGGATATGAATTGTGCATATACGTGAAAATGTTGGAGTAATTTTAGTGGTAGATAAATTTAGAGTGAGTCACCTTAGATGGTTTGGTCACATAAAATGACGGCCTTTCGATGACTTGGTTAGGAGAGTAGATGTATTAGATTTGGCTTATGCTAAAAAAGGTGGAGGTTGACCTAGAAAGACTTAGTTAGAAAATATTAGAAATGACATTTTTTATTAGATTTAAACGAGAGTTTGACTCTTAACAGGATACAATGGAGAAAAAAGATTCATGTAGCCGATCCCACGTAGTGGGATAAAAACTTGTTGTTTTTGATCATGCATAAAATTCTCAGTTGGTTGCAAGTCATGCATGTATGCATGTGCTAGATGCAATCCCAACATGCTTGCTTGGATGGACCATCTTTTTTTATTCGTTTGAAATATTTTAGGTGAATAGTGATTTTAGTTGTCCTGATAAGTTTGAGTGACCATAGCATTCCCAATCTCATCGCTAAGTTCCCTTAAGCATTGATATTGTTGATAGAGGGTATTGTGAAATTGAAGCCTTTAAGATTGGTTTGAGCAAGTCCACGCTAGCTCAATGGCAAGATTAGAGAGGACAATTAGGCAGCAAGCAAGATTTAGGGGTGTAGCTCGGAGTTAGAAAAAAATATTTAATTAATTAGTTTTAATTATAATTTTCTAGAGGATGGGTAGCACAATGGTTAGGTTGATTCTAATCTTCTATTATGGTTTGGAGTTTCAAATTTGAATGAGGCAAATCTTATCTCTGCAAAATAGGGGTAATGATGCACAAGTCACCTCCTTAGATCCTGTTTTGGCAGGAATATTTATACATTAGGTATGCCAATTTTTTTGTTTACAGTGAAATGAGGTAAGGGTCTTGAATATTGAACTTTAAAAATTATTGTTCCTTTTTAAAATAAGGGAATACTAAAGGGAGTTTTGTGAAGTTTCCCTATTCTGTATTTGTTCGCTAATAGAGAACAACAATTAGTTCACATCTTAACTAAAAGTACCAGTAGGATCTTTGAAAATGCTAGCCACATCTAAGGATATTTTATGTTGCATTTTAATTGTACAGGTGATATGAATGATTTCTTATTATTTTAATATTTATAGGAAGTAAATCTTTAATTTGTTATACATAATCGCTTTAGGCTTTAGAATTGATTAGGAACATTTCAAATAGTTGAGTGATCTTTATGTTGGCACTTGTAGCATTGTTAAATAATGTGCAAACATTTAGAAACTATTAAATTAGAGTATAAAGGAGAAAATAGAACTGTCTTTGAAGTAATGTCATACTTTAAGATGTGGTTGTTGGAAAAAAATGCCATTGAAAATAATACATTGTTAAGCCAAAGCCAACATTTAGAGATGAAATTACAGAGAAAATGTTTTTAGATGAAAGATCCCTCCCCTTCCCCTCAACTCAATGTGTCCCATTTGTTTGATTGAAGCTGCTATGTGCAGATGTATAGGTTTCAATTCATAATTAACTATTCTGTCAGCCTCTTGAAATTTTCCCCACTCCTTCCTCATACTGGCTTCTCCCTGGTGATATCATTAATGTTGCTTGATGTAGGCCCCTGGGTGCTAGAAGAGTGATCGTCGTCCTGTAAGAGCCTCATGAGCAGTTTCCTCGAGTCTCTCTTTCAAACTTCTTCTGGTCTTCCACCAACTTGGCCAACTCCATGGCCTTGCCTAGATTCCTTGGCTCCAACACTCTGACTGCTGTTCTTATTTCCAGTTTCAGTCCCTTCATGAAATTCCCTTCCAGGGCTGATTCCAAGATATGATCCAGTCTACTAGCCAGATACTCAAACCTGTCCCAGTAATCTGCCTCCGTGCCTTCCTGGGTAAGGGCAAAGAATTGCTCATAGAAGTCTCCTCCCTCATCTGCTCAGAAACGCTCTAATAATCATCTTGAACTCCCGCCAGCTCCGGATAGGCTTCCGTCTGTCACGCCACTGATACCAGGCTAAGGCCTTTCACTCCAAGCACATTCCCGCAGCTATCAATTTCTCCTCCTCCGTCAGCCCATTGACAGCAAAATATCGCTCCACCTTATAAATCCACCCATGTCCATCCTCACCCTCGAAGATGGGCATTTTCAGCTTCCTCACCTTTGGATCTCCTCCATTTCTCTGGTATCCCCCCAAGTGTCCCGATCATCCCTCCGACGATTATACTCGAACCCCTCTTCATACTCTCCCCTTCTTCCTTCAAAATCATCACCTCGACGCTGAATTTCTTCAAATTCAGCACCTCGACGATGAATTTCCTCCCTTCTTCCTTCAAATTCAGCCCCTCGACGTTGAACTCTTTCGAATTCAGCACCTCGGCGATGAAATTCCTCCCTTCTCCCTTCAAAATCAGCACCTCGACGCTGGATTCTCTCAAATTCAGCACATGGGCGATGAAATTCTTCTCTTCTTCCGTCAAAATCAGCCTCTCGTTTGTCATATCCCCTACTCATCTCTTCTCTAGAAATCGGTTCTAGAGGGGGCATGTCGTTCTCCTCATCCAGGATCTCCACCTCCGAATTACTCCTCCCTCGCAACGGGTTCGGATTTCCTCCCATGCCATGACCGTCGGTGGTCTCTCTTACTTCCGATGTCGCTGGATTGGTCTTCATTTCAAGTAATCTCTTTATCATTTCTTCCATAACCGTGAACTTCCCTTCCAA